ATCTCTCGATGGATTCGCGACACGGTCTCTCAGGCGTATGCCTCCTTTTTCTGTTACGGCCCATTCTACAAGGGGGCTTTTCGCCATGGTGCCTCCGTTTCTCAGGTTTGTAAGGCCGCGACTTGGTCTTCTGTTCACACCTTTGCCAAGTTTTATAAGGTGGATGTTTTGGCATCTGCGGATGCTGGTTTGGGGCGCAAAGTGTTGCAGGTGGCCGTTTGAGGGGATTTTTTTGTTTAGTTGGGTTTGTTGTTTCTGTTGGCCCACCCCTCTTTTTTGGTACTGCTCTGTGACGTCCCTACAGTACATGATCTCCGATCTGCTCCCTGTGTCCTTCAATGAACGGGAGAGAAAATAGGATTTTGGTACTCACCGTAAAATCCTTTTCTCTCCGTTCATTGAAGGACACAGGGCCCGCCCCTCTATGTGGGTGTGTACTCCTTTACTGCTTGTTACTAAACTGGAGACTTGTCAGCAGGTGGGGGGTTTGGCCACCGGCAGGGGCCGTCCCTAGGCTGTGATTGGTCTTTAGTTTTTTTGTGCCTAGCGTCCTCCTGCAGGTGGCGATATTACCCTACAGTACATGATCTCCGATCTGTTCCCTGTGTCCTTCAATGAACGGAGAGAAAAGGATTTTACGGTGAGTACCAAAATCCTATTTTTTCTGCCGTAAGGGTTTAGCCCTGATGTCCTCTGCTAGGTGGGGTGCTGTGCGCTTCTCATATTTTAATTTTTTTTTTCCCCCACCAGCCAGCCTTTAGGAAGCACCATCCCGCTGCTGCTCCCACAAACACTATATTTCCCGTCTGGTTCCACTGCCTGCCTATAGAGACTTTTGTTTTTCTGTACCCAATCCTAATGTAGGCAGCAGTTATGCCTAACAGTATGATGTCCTGTGTCCCTCAATGGACTCCAAGAAAATGATTTGTTGGAATGTACAAGAATTCTATTTTACTGCATCTCAATCCTTGTTAGCGTCAAAAGCCTATTTTGAACGTTCTTCCTAATTGTGTTTGGGTTGTTTTTTGTTTAACCCCTTCGTGACTGACGACGTACAGTGTACTTCGCCAGCATCGGGGCTGTTTAAACAGACTCCCGGCGACTTTTGCCGCCGGGACTCTGTTTAAACTTGTAGAGCCGACTGTCGGCTTTACAACAGAAGCGATCCTGGCGACTTACCTGTCGCCAGATCGCTTCTG